CTCCATGTTTCACGGTTTGCTTCACATGATGCCCTTGAAGCTTGTCACCAAGTCTCCGCCAACAGTATTGCTTTCCACCCGATTGAAAAGGATTAAACTTAGATTCGTTCGACCAGAAAAAACGTTTCCAGGCTTCTATTGTCCAGTTGTTGTATTCCTTGGCGAATTTGAGCCGAGCCTTAACATTTTTCTCGGATGAAGCTGGTTTTTTTACTACTGCGGTGTACCCAATCCTACCAAACGCTCTTCTAGCTGAACATCAACTCACACCTTTATTTTTTTTTCTGTAGAAGCTCATTTTCGCGTAGTCTATTTTTTTTCATTTTAGCATTCTCAGCCCGTATCATATTCCGTGTCGAACACCTACTTTTAGTCAGGGAGATAATACTATTTTCTTTATCAGAATAGTTAGAGACTTTTTTCTCAGTGAATAGTTAGATACTAAGTTCCAAATTCAATAAATCAACTACAAACTTATGGAAGAGATGGTTTTCTGAATTCTGACAACGAATAATAAATGCAAAGGGCACTTAACGGTATATCTGCAGGTCTATTGCTGATAGGATAAGTAAGAAGAGCGAATAACGGATGGTGCAAAACTGAGTACAAGCCGCATGTTTTGGATTTTAAATCATAACTATTCCATTTGGATTATTCGCTTAATATTTATGTGACCTCAAACATAAAAACGTTGATCGTGAAATCACTTTTGCTCCCCACTGTACATATTTATTTATGATATTCCTATATAAGATATCTCTACTAGAGCTCAAGAAATTGTTCAAGCATTTTAGTGCGCCTGGAGCATTTGAGCATCGAATACTCACACACTCGTGCATTGCTCATCGAGCACGAGCTCATGCAGTTCGAACGTTTTCGCGCATTTTGAGGAAGAATTTCGACATTCAGTTCATGATACAAAATTTTCTATGTATGCATTAATTCGTGCGGTTTACTAAGAGGGCTCTACTAGTATTATTTCGCGTCGTGTTCATCTGTGGCTATATTCATTTCAAAGGTACTGTCATTTTGCGTCGTTTTCAGACGGACGACGGACAGCCAAAAAAATGTCAAGACTATGAATTGGAGACATTGCTCGAAGCAGATGCATGCCAAACTAAAGAATAACTTGCAAAAGTATTAGGAGTTGATCAAGCAACCGTTTCCAGACGATTAAAATCATATTTTTACAATAAAGTCGTAATTTTCCAAAAAAAAAAAAATCCGCACGAATTAATGCATACACCAATATAAGGTAGTTTTACTTTCAAATTCTTAACACTAAACGTGTTTGATGTTGGTACTTATAAAATATTTAACTTAAAAATATTTTCATTCTTTATTATAAAAAAATTGGACTTTACATTTTTGAATTTTTTTCAGAAACTTGTGCTCTTAGACTTTTTCAACTATATATAATACCAATCTTCCGAGGTTTAGGTTACTAGTCTAAGAGATTTACCAGGGAAGTAAGAGATCATTGACGACAGTTAAAACCCCGATAAACTTTGCCCATGATGTGGGCATACTTCTTTTTTCGCCAAAGTATCTGTTAAGCTTAAACCACGCACAAATCTAGTCTTAGATCGAGGTGAACAGAACTAACTCTTTACTTCATTTAAGAATTACTTCCATAAGCATAACAACCCGAGAATTAACCAGACACTGCATTATTGGGAATCACGATAGAAGAATGGGCTTAATCTCAAACGACATAGATGAAGAGGAATTGGTACAACACTACCCGTTATAGTTTTCTCATAAACTTTTTCTTTGATTGCGTGTCACATTCTTGCATCTTATGCCTGCAGATTAATCTTCTAAACTTCATAAAATATACCAAGTGATTTGAGCATTTATAAAGGTGAGAGGAATCTACTTCACAGGACTAACAGAGGTAGCACAACAGGCCAGCAGTGTTAAATGCGCTTGATCAGTGTTCCTTGATCGAACAACCTGTTTAACTAACCGATCGACTATATTTCCATATTTCAATATAATTACCGGTTAGACTAAATTCAAAAATGTTTTGGAAAATGAAGGCGACTTAAACGTCTCACCCAAACACAAAAAATTATTAAAGTAAAATTCTGTCTGCTTACAAAATTTTGATCTACATTCAACCGTACAGGTAGATATAGCAAGTCCAATGAACTCCCCATTTTTTGTAATATTAATTGAATTTCGTTGGGTCAATCTATTCCCTTTCTAATACAACGTACTAATGTTATACAGCAATCAAGAAAGGCATATTCCGGTAAAGTCCACTATTAGAGGTTGGAAAAACACAATAATTTTTAACATTTAACTATTTAAACTTTATTAAAACACTAAATAATTTTTATTTAAAAGTGGTAAATGCAAAAATAAGTAGAAGAATGTAGCACGAGAAATACGAAACACGATAGTTATGAAGAATAGAAAATGAAACTACCTTTAAATTATTGTTATCATACTCAACACTCGTTTCTATAACTAACAATTTTGTTATGAAATGTTAAAACTCATTGCAATACTAAAACATATTTTGACAAAAAAATATTGAAATTGAAATTCCAAGCAAAGATTTGAGTAGTTGAACGACGGACGAGTATCGAGCGAGTATCAAGCTGCTCCCATTGCAAATAAATAATAGAAATTAAAACTCCAGATATCTTTCAGGTTCGTGTATTTTTCATATATATATATATGTATATCAATTTAATTTCTATATTATGAATTTTTATCCACATACTAAATATATTGTATATGTGCATTCATATGAAGCGTACAAGCATTGCTCTTTGAATTAGCAACATTTCATGCCATTCCATAATATTATTTGAATCTAATTTATATCACTAGCAACCACTGCAAATTAGTTAGCTGCGCACACTGCTAAGCGGAGAGTCAATGTGTCGCCTCATGATTTTTCTATATGCGCTCAACCATCGGCGTTGATATTTCTGGCACGAAATAAAAGCTCATATAAAAACTCATCGGCCGTTCATCATCTTAAACGATTTATGGAAGCCTTCAGTTGTTAAAAAAAGTCAGTAAGTACAACGGATAAGACACTTTGCTGAAATTTTGCTTGAGCAACCATAAAGTGCTAATTTAATATATGAAATTTATTCTGCCAATACTCAAAGCATTTTTATTATTGGCAAGGTTCTAATTTAATTAATTATAGAATTTTTTTGATTTCGCTTAAACATCTGATCAAATTGATAATCACTGAATTCAAATTGTGGGTAGTTTTTTTATATAAGAGAGCTAGATGCATTATCGTAAAACCTTAATATTCTCAATGAATACACATATATCGGATCTGTTTTAAGTGGGCAAGCTATTCGGAATGGATAAATGTCTCCCCATTCTCTTCAAATTCGCTGCTGCAGCAACGGTAGTAATGGGATGAACTCCCTTCGAGCAGTCAATGATCTTCTGTTTCTTGTAGACCTATTTCTTTTCTTGTTATACTTCGGTAATAAACTTATAATTGCATATAGATTTCCACCAAATTGAAATAAGATCCTCCAGTAGTTATTCAGTGAAGTTTATACAAGCTTTTTCTGTACCTCCGCTATTAGATGCTAACTGAGTTTGATCAATTCAAATAGGAATTTTTAGGTTATATCCATTCGTTCACCTACGTGAATTGAAATTCAATTTACTTGTGAGGATATAGTTTGGTTTTCGTTTTTGTTTCCAACAACCACCACTCCGCATTTCTGATGGCGGAACTTACTGAAACTTTGCGAATAAAGACAAATAGACAATAGGATATTGGAAGAAGAGTATGTTTAGCGCAATCTGGTCTCTTTTTACTTTATTTAATTTCTTAATACGATACTGATCCTACTAATTAGATACATACAGGGTGCACCATCTGCTACGATAGCATTTAAAACTTGAATAACTTTTAATTGAAAAAATAACCTTTTTTTATTTTTTTTTACAGAAACTTTACTTGTTGATTTTTATTTTATTTACATTTTTGAATATCCAACAAATGACCGAATGTATTTTCTTACAAAAAAATGTCCTTTTTCTCGGTAGAAATAAGTGTGCCGGTGAGCTGAGCTATAGTCTCCGGCTTGTCGATGTACGCTTTTCTGAAAGTGGCGTCGTTCAGACTAGCGTCATTAAACCGCGAGTAGCGTGTACCGTGGCTCAATCCTGTTGGAACCGAATGTGTGCCATGTCATATTCAGCCATTTCCGGAAACATAAAGTCACACAGCATTACTCTGTAGCGCGTGCCATTGATCGTAACGGCGTTATTAGCCTCGTTCTCGAAAAAAAAATCGGCACGATTATCCTTTTGGCTGATACTCCCTACCAAATGAGTACTTTTTATCATGGAGGGGCGGTTCAAATATCTCAACTATAAAAGTTACAAATACTATAGCAGCAGATAGTGCACCCTGTATTGAAGAACTCCTATGTATATTAACGGTCATATACATATATTCAAATATTCAAATCACTAAAATTGGAATAAGGCCTAAATTAAAAGGAAACACAGTTGAACTTTGTGCATAAAATAGAAAATAAATATGTACATACATACATACATACTATATGCATATGTAAAACTTCATCAAGTGTGATTCGAGAACAAATCAAAACCAACCAAACATAAATTAATTTGACATTTAACACGATTTTTATTATGTATGTACATATGTATATAAATATAATTCATTCCTAAGTTTAATGCTTCAAATTTTAAGTTTCAAATAAATGGTCAATATTCAAATAACATGAAAAGCGCCAGTGCGGCCAAAGCTATTTAATAAAAGTCTGCACGTGAAGCTTTCGAAAAAGCTTTCGCGTGCAAAGCTCTTCGTACAAGCTTTTCACACCTAAAACACACCTGTCGCATTTGTCGGCACAACTACATATACATACATACATACAGCAGCCGCGCGACTTTTCAGCACCGATTGGCGTGCGCCATCTCCACCGCCGATGGGGTGCAACCCACACAATCCCGCGCCTTCAGTCAACCGGCTACTGTAGTACACGGTCGTTCGGGCGGCTGCTATCAGTTCAGTTGCGGTTGAGGTGGCGTACGCGTTGGGCGCATCGTGAAAAAATAAAGTAGGAAGCTTTGAGAAAAATTTCAGCGAAGTAATTTGTTTTTGTAATTTAGTTTGTTTTTAAATGCATTTATAATTTTAACGGAATTTTTGCAAAGCATATGCTTATGAAATACATACATACATATATTTTTCTGTGTAAAACAAACTAAATTTGAAGAAAACCCCATGAAGGGGGATGAAAAAGTGAAAATATAGTTTACAAAGCGAGTGAAAGTAAATATTTAAGTGTTTGTATGTGTGTGCTTATGCAACTGTTTGTATTACGACCTAGCAAAAGAGTGCAGAACTCCTGCCAAAGGAGCTTTTCTAGCAGCGAATAAGCAAACAGCGTTCGAAAGTGAAATGTTTTGAAATTTAAATTTTAACGACTCAAGGATACGCGCCACCAGAAGACAAGCAACAGGACTAGCACCTCCCTCGCATGAAGAAGAAGGTTGGAGCTCATGTCGCTACTGCTCCACTTTTCGTTGTCGGCGCTGCGCAGTACGTGAAGTAAGCAAAGAGAATATCTAGATTTAGTGCAATGAAATGTGTTAGTAAAATTGGAGTATTGGCCAATATTTGCATATTCAAGTGTTTACTGTGTTTTTATGTTGATTTTGTTGCTATTGGAATTTCCATTTCTTCTACCCTTTCAACTAACAGTCTTCTTTAATGGTTTTTGTTTGGTTTTTGCCCGTCATCTTTTTGTTTGTTTCGATGCAACCAGCAGATGGTATGCAATAACTTCGTGTTACTATTTCAATGAATGCATTTTCAGTTCGTTACGGACATTTGAGAACGTCAGCTGAATTTTTGAGCTGCAAGCAGAGTGTGATCTGACACACGTTGTTTAGTTTGTGATATCTCAATACGTGACGGCGCATGTGTTTTCAGTAAACGAGAAGTGCGGTATTTTAAAAAAATGTTATATATAAAGAATAAAAGTATTGAAACTAAATAAATGTAAAAACAATTAAAAACTAAAAAGTTAAAAATTTTAAAATTTAAATTGAAATATATATTATTAATTATTAAGTATAGTTTTTTAACGAAAATTATTCTAAAAAAATTATATATTTGTAAACAAAAATTTTGAATATTTTTTATGCAATTTTTGTTGGAAGAAATTAAAAATAAGTTTTTGTTATGTAATAAAAAAACAGTTACATGTGTCAATAAAGTAAAATTGTTTTTTTTATCTTGCGGCGGTAATTTTTAAATTTACTTAAAACAACATGCCTAAAACTTCAACTTAAATGTGTTGTGTGTAAAACTCTCAGAACAAAAATAATTCTTCATTTTATTTAATTTTTTTCTAACCTAACATTATTGAGCAGCTATGTCTCAAAACAAAAATGTTTTAAAATAAAAATATTTTAATTAATTCGCTGAAATATATTTCGATAATTAGCATAAGATAACGGCTCTGAATTTGATCTTGGTTATTGCAAGAATTTATTGTTTATTGGTTAAAAAATTTGATTTTTACGTTGAAAATTTTCTTGAAAATTATTTTGGGTTATTTCAATTGATTTAAATATTTCTTGGGTGGTGATTCGACTCCGAGGAAGCCATTCACATAGAGAGAATTGTTGAAGCGGTTAACTGACTCTTGGTGAATGGCGTTAAATACCTATCTGTGAGTCGTCCTGTTCAGCGGTTGTTGCACATGTTGCTGAATGTAATCCTTCAAGTACACCCTCTCTGATGTGCCTGGGTGTTGGTTCTGCTTAAAATAAATGTTTGTTGGGATGTTACCGAAAGGAGAAATTGCTTGGATTTTATTTATTAAAATTTTATTTATGTTTAATTTATTGATAATTATTTTTTTAGAATAATTTTTTGTGTTCGCTACGGTCGTTTTGATAGAAATTTTTCCCATAAACATTTTTTACTTGATCACGAAAAACCCAAAAAAATTTAGAGCAAAAAGGTATCAAAATATTCCGGGGACAACAGATATACAAATCTATTGCTGTAATTAATTAAGCAAATTTTTGAAATCTGAAATCAGTTCGAAATAGTAGATCTGCTTTATGACTGATAGATCTACGAGTATTTTAGCCATGACTGCATAAAATTTAGCTCTGGTAATTACATATAATATTGGAACTTTTATTGAAGCAATTTTCGGCGGAGCTCTTATTCCAATTTTTAGTATGCTTTCTAATGTTTGCCCACGAATGGAGTGATTATCAGTTTATTTCATATTAGAAATATACTCATAGAGCTTGACATTTCCTGTCGACGGATGAACGCAATCAGAAAACTTAATTTTCTATAATTTTAGACGCTGGAAGCCTGGCTTTCAGAATACGCATTACTACCCACTCGGCTTTTTCGGCCGCCGAGAGAGTTTTGGTAATTACTACCATGATACCATGATTTTAAGGTAGTATCATGATCTTAAAAAAATTCATAATTTTTAAATGAAAAATATGTGAAGAGATGTCATATTTTTTCAATTCAATAAAATGGGGAGCTGCTTGGATTTTCTATATTAACGTTTGAATGTAAATTACCCTCACAGAATAAGAAATTTCCGAGAAATCGATGATGGGTCGCACAGTTTACCGGGGTTATAATTAACCTTATCCGGTCAGCTCATCGACTCCAATATCATCTCGAAGTGAAACTATCTTATAGAATTTTTGCATCATGGGTGATCCCATAAAATAAGTCAGGTTAGCTAATAGTTATATATCATCGATTTTTATTTTTTTATTTTTTTATTTTTATCGACTTTGTAAAACTACACACAGAGTTATTCCATATTTAAAAAGAAAATAAAACACTTTTGGTGAAAGAGAATTCCACTTTTCTCTTTATCAATCAATGCTTTAGATATTTTACAAAACATTGAATTCTCTAACCCACCCTTTCCCCATTAGCTAATCCCTAAGAAATACAAAATCTGTCATTGTTTACCTTATAAGCAGAGCAGAAAATAACAAGTTGACAGTTGTAAACAGCTGTGACACACGCCTACACATAGATAGTGATAAGACTGAAAATGAAAAAAAGAGCAAAAGATTCTTCGTTGCTCAAATGAAACTGAGCGCACTCTCTTTACGTTTTGTTTGGCAACCAAATGATGATGGGTATGGGGTCAAGCATACAAAAATAAAAATAAAAAAATAAATATAAATATAAAATATATGCGTATGTATGTATATATAAATAAATTTTCACCCACTAATCATGGATCAGGAATAGCGAAATGGCCTTGTTTTGACCAATCCTGATAACTGTAAATATATTGTGTAGGTTATAGCATCTAAAGTAGATTATTTTGACGTATTGTGATTGATTAGTGAGCTTCTTCATTTGCGTATTTACATACATAAATATTATTCACATATAATATATGTAAATATGCTTATACTAATGTACGCACAGTAATAAATTTGTTATTAATATAATAGTATGAGCTATAATTATATATTTTTGGCATAATATGCTGTCACTTAGCCATTGAATGATCTTCTGGCATGAGTAATCGATACATTGAGCGCGTGCAAGCGTTTGACAGATTTCAGCATTTTGCTGTTTACTTTTTTCACCTTTTTCTTGAAATCTAAAATTTGCTTGGAACTCATTTTAGACTTTTTGTTTTTTACATTTTTTTCATTTGTTTATTTTTTCGGAATCACGAGGACTCAACGAAAAATGAATGTTAAACGCTAAACAGCTGTCAGGCAAACATTTCATTCATAAATCTGTGACGCGAGCCTACTTATACCTATGAGGAATTTAAAGATAACACTCGTATATATGTATGTACGTATCAACGATGGATAATGCTGCCTGCCGGCACTACTAGTGTACTCTTCTTTCTTGCGGTGTGTGTAGTACTAGCATCACCAATAATGTTGTAGTTGTGCTCTCACAACGCATTCAAAAGGAATGCCTAAGTGAAACAATAGTGCCCATCTCTGACATACAGATTTAGGATTTTTTATTAATACCATTATTTAGTATTGTTCACCAGCTTTTCGTCCCGTTTTCATAATTTCCAATTAACTGCTAGATAGATTGATGTTATACTTTCGTTTTTAACAAGGTCTGGTTACCTAACTTCTGGTTAGTTTGATCATTGTGAATATTTTAAGGTAAATTCACAAAAATGCTCATTGCGAATATATCAAAACTACATGATAGCTGGTATTTGCTTTCTTTCATATTTAATTTTTTTCATTGTTTTCTAATTTCTTTTGGTCCATAAATGGAAAAAATGGAATTTATTAAAATATATTTAATATAATTTTTACTTAGGTCATATAATGCCAGAAAGAAAACAACAATAGTTATGAATGAACTTATGACTACATATTATACAAAACTTGATCCTACATAAGCATTTCTTTGCACGTTATGATTATGATTAGAGTCTGAAAACTGTCAATCAAAGGGATAGCTCCGCTAAATGACCTTTCCATACTCCAAAGCAACTCTTTATCACAATTTCGTTCAACGCTAAGATTGGAACTTATGAGCGAGGCTTAGCTGTTAGCTCCATAACCACTCTCGTCCAGTAAAAACGATGATCTTCCTGCTTATTTGTGTTACTCTGATGAATGGTTGAACAAGTACCCAACTTGCGGTCGCCTCGTTTTATAATAATATTTTGGCGCATGGTAACCGCTGAAGCGATTTTCAGCCGAGCTCCTCTTCCAGTTTGTGGTTTTACGTCTTGATATTTTTCCAACAAATGAAGAGGCCTACAGTTAATACCAAGGCGCCTCCGAACGGCTGATGTTTTTTTAGTCTCGTCACAGTCTCGGAGCGGTTGACCTTTCCTGCTGATGGGCAACCGCAATTAGAAGATCTAATAAAACTTTTATTTGGTTACTACTAAACTTTTGGATATTGGTTGTGCAATGATTTGAACCCTGGTTTTCCGAATGGCACTACGCAAAGCTAACCACTCGTCTATCGCAGCCGCAATCGCCACTTTTCTTCCGCATAAATCAGCAACACAAATTAAAAAAAAAACTTCCCAATGCATAGAAGCGTAAAGTAAGAAACAGTATTTCCACTGTCCTGTAAGTGTTTGATTCCTACTAATGAAAATACATATTGTTGATGATTTAAAACAATATGTATTTACTCCAAGCACTTTTTTCACAAATCTCCCCTTGCGGTTTCTGATTCTACTTTCTATTTTTTCATAACTTATTTTGTACTAATATTGGAAAGACGAAAACTGCGGGGAAAAACTTCTTCGTCATATCACCCAAAAAAAAAAACATATTTTTATACGGCTTTTTTCTAAAAACGCTCTCTGAATCAACACAGCAAGACAGGTAGTACATTCCATATTTTCCATAGTTAAATTTATTTCAAAGTTAAAACCGGGCTACAATTTTTTTAAGTTATTTTACTATTTTCAGCTGTCAAATTATCTTCTGGTTAAGAGCTAATCACCTCTCAATATTGGCGCTAAGTTAATCACAGCTTAATTGACAGATGCGCCTTAACCGGACATTGTGAAAACGAATTTTATGCTA